GTATATTAGGTATGTACCTCAAATAATCGTAGATCAGCCGGGACTCTGTCTCCAACTGACAGGCAGACTGTATCACCTGGGACTAAATCTCTTGCAAGTGTATGTTCCACCCTACCTTCTCGTACACTGTAGGGGAAAACATGAAGTCAAAGAGCATAAGAATGTCTTCTCTGGCATTTTGTCAGAGAAAAGCTTTCAAAGCATTGACTACGTATTGCATTGTTACTGGTTTCAGAAGTCAACCAAATAAGATTTCTGCTTTTGCTGCTTGTTTCTTGAAGTTACCTATTAGTAATATCATCGGAAATGTTTAAGTGGCAACATTGTGGAATAATACTTTAGGCTCACACAGAAAGCTTTAAAATGACCCAAAGCAAAACACGTTTTAAGTCAGTATAACAGCTTGATATCAAAGCAGCAAGCTTTTGATGAATCTATTCGTTTCAGATTAAATTTAAACACTACTTAATTTAGGACTGAAAGAACAGACAATTCCATACCAATGGCATTCTGGAGGCACAAGTTTACTAAGCTCTTCAAGAGATTTTTCTGATCTGTACTCCTGCAGACACATTAAAAATACAATTAATGCAGAGAATGTTTTCAGAACAGACAAAAATCAAACAACAGTAAAACAAATTCACACCTACCGAAATCCGTCTTATTAGTAAGTTGTGTTAAGGTAACATTCCAAAGAATCATTAAAGCGATGCAGTTCAACAGTTCCATATTAGATACTTTAAACAACAAATATGGTTCAAACACTGAGAATTTGTAAAATTTAAGAATTTGCCTACACGCATTTCTTAAGGCTGGCAGAGGTTCTTCCCATTCTCTTTCAGGCCTTTTAATACTCGCAGTAATGCTTCTAAACACATGGCTCAGAAATGGTCAAGTTCCACTGTTCAGCAAGTTACTGCATATCAGCTATACCTAAAATACTGTGTTCACACTCTTAACTCCTAGAGAAATAAGGTAACATAACTTATCTCAAACCTCAATAAGCAGATTATAAAATTAAAGTAAACAAAGATACTGAGCACAAACATAAAGTAATTTTGTTTTATACACTGAGTATTAAAGTAGAGCTGGATGTTTATAGAATGAAAACAACTCATTTATGGCTTAGAAAATGACTGAAGAATTATTTTGCAAAGTTTCTGTACAAAATTGCTGCCAGAGCTGCACTTTCAAAATCTATTTTCTGTGAAATGAAATATTTGAGAGTAGTTCAACACTGTTTAATCTGAGTGTTCTATGCAAGTATTCTTTTATGGCTGACTATAATACTCATATGGATGCATAAACGTCACTGTAGTTAAAGCAGTACAAATCATGAGCTTTAGAAAAGACAAAAGGCTTGGATGAAAGCACCGAGCACTTAATCATTCAGTCGCACAATGCATCAGGGCAACTACTTCAGTCTTATTAAATAAGAGTTTATATAAAAGCACTAATATTGTTTGGACAACAGATGTCTTACCTGAACAAAGGCAACCGTAACAACAATGAGTATTGCCTGCAAGAAAACAAAAGCAAGGTAAGATAAAAGAATTCCAAATGGCCATTAAAGTTAGTGATCACATTTGCTTTTGTTTAATCATATTTGTTAGCACTTATTAACAATATGGTTTGGAAACATGTTTTCTCATGTTCAGAATCACTGGATATCCCTCAAGTCTGTTAAAAAATAAAAGCCCACACCTCCACTATCTTTTTACACCTGTACTACTGACAGCCAAGGACCTCAGTAAACTGATTTCACTAAGAATAAAATTCATAACTAGATACCGATTTTGAAGAAAGTTCTACTGACTGGGAAATAACCTCTGCTCTGCACTTCTGAAAGATGAGCAACACAGATCAGCAGAGAGAGATCCGTAACGGAAATAAAGCCACTGGTCTGAGTGAAGTATGAAAACGTGAGTGCAAAAACATTTAATGAAACAAGAGAACAAGGGTTAAAGAAATTGTGTCAACTGCTAACGAGCAAGAGAGATGTGGCTTCATGCAAATAACCACATTCAGAAAGGTTAAGAAAAAAAACAACACACCCTCCCCCAAGACTAGAAATACAGTAGTGAGATAAAGAACAGGACTGGAGCCATAAAACATTGACATAAGGAAAAGAAAAGAACAAGGAAACTCTGCCCAAGACTCCTGAGGACTGGGACAAGGCATTGAGACAGAAGACCCCAAACAGCCAAGATCCCAAACAGAACGGGCATAAAAGAAAAAAGAAAGAAAGAAAAACAAACACCCCACGCACTGGCTCCTTACTGCTTATTAAGAACCTAAGAAAATTGATTAGGACTGAAGAGCAAGCCTTCACTTCTCCCCCACAAGCGATCCTGGTTACACACAGGCACTTCAGTACAAACGTCATGGGGCTAGCGAGCGTGTGATGTGACAGTGAGTGAATAAGCAAGATCTGCTGGGAATGAATGCGACTGAGGTAAATTTTCGTTTAAAATAAGTATCACCTTCCCATTCTACACAGGCTTAGACTGAGTTTTGTTACACTAATTTCTTACAGCTGCATACAACTGTATCTTAAAGGAAGTACAAAATCCATTAATTAAGCCTTTAAAGCACACACTGCAGTTACTAAAAAATAATCAAGATACGACCATTTTGCAAGAAAGCAACTTTCTTTTGCAAACTTCTTGAACAATCCAAAGGCCAAAAATCAACAAGTCTGCCTTGTTTGTGGCACTAACAGCCAGGTATTCTTGTCCTCATTTCAGTCTCTGAGCGTATGTGTACGTGCTATGGTTTCCATCAAGAAACCAGTACCCTCAAAAAAGGAAAAGATATGTCATTTTTAACCTGAGTCAGTTTCTCTAGTCCAGTTCACACAGCTTTACAATACATTTGTATTAGCAGAGCTGAAAGGGTAGAAAAATCTGCTTAGAAGAAATGCTACCAGAAGAATATACATGCCATTAATCTTCAACAGCATATTAGTTTTGTTGCTAAGGCTTTGCGAACAAATATAGAGTCACCGGAAAACTGCACTATCATCTGAAAGGAAATTAAAACTTCATAGCTGACAGAAAAAAAGCGGGTATTAATAACTACAAGACGAAATGGTGGCTTAACCAGAAGTTAGACACAAAACCCCCCACAATTAATGAATTTTAACTCAACTGCACTTATTCTCTGTATTTTTAAACACCACAGTTCACGAGGCTACTAAAGCATCCTTCTTAAGTTGTTGCACAAAATACAGAAATTATTGCTCTCTTATACTGACTGCCTGTTCTCTTCCCGTTGCCTTGCTTAAGAGGGATAAGAAATAAACTTCTGAGCAGTAACCAAGGAAAAAACAGGAAATAATTCAACCTTAAGCTACAGCAACAGTTAAATACATTTCATAACACCATATTATGAACCCAACAGAACATGTCAAACAATACTCAAATTCAAAATTGCATGGTTTTTTACCTAGAGCTATCACATGGTTTATCCACCAAAGATAACATTTCCAAAGAATAAGAAGGGCTAGGAGCAAAGCTCCAATTACCTTAAATACAGAAGTAAAATTCGTCAGCATATACAGTGAGGTGGTCAGCCAAGACAGAAAACAGGTCAATTTTATTCCTCTAGAGCTTGCTCCTGATCATACAGACAGTCCAAGTCTTAGCTATCATCTTTTCCCCCAAAAGGCCAAGTGGAAAATTTTCTTCTCAGCATCATTTACACTGACAAACATTTAGCAGTACTTTATTTGCTCACCAGATTAACAGGCTATTTAACTGCAAATTCCTACAGAATTCATTATTTCAGGTTCTGTCTTCTGCTATTTCTAGGGAGTTCACTTTTCTTCACCATAATTAAAAGGATTACATCTTTAAAGGAACTTAACAGAAAGCTTCTATTGGTTACCATTTTAATTTAAATCATAATTTAAGATAAAAATTGGAAGACACTAAAAATTGCTTCTCGAAACAAACTACTGAAGACAGACGTTTCAACCATCAACGAAAGAGTAAACACATAAAACGCAGCCAAATAATTTTTAGCTGATATAATATTTATTTTGGTATGTACTATTGCTATGAGTCAAGAACAAACAAAATCCCGTCACAAGTTTAACATTCGATTTAATGCTAGCATATAATCAACTTCATAAATTAGAATTAAATGATACTATCCCATGTCAGTATTCAACATAACGTCAAAAGTATGCGTGGCTATCCATTCTCAAGAAGTACTCTCAAAGAAGATAAATTTTAGTTCCTTACCACAGTGATACTGACAGCATCATCAAACTGATGCATTACAACACTGATGACCGCAGATGCCAGGAGAAGCATAATAAGGGGATTTTTAAACTGAAAGGAAACAGAACAGTAATTCAGCAATACTCTGATAGAATGACCATTTTACCTCTCCCTCAAAGCACATTTGATCAGCTGTGTTTGAGACATATTCCTTTATAATTAAAATCTAAGCCATCAGCAAAAAAAAGAAATCTGACTCTGTACAGTTATTTCACAGCTTTTACTTAAGCAAGCTTCCTTTTTTTAAAAAAAAAAAAAAAAGATCACGGACCATATCCAATATATAACTGTTTCTTGCATTTCTTGATTTGCATTTTCTCAAGAAGAAAAAAAATAAATTATTCCTTCTATTTGTTTGTACTGTATTTCAACACCAAAAAAAAATTCAGAATGTCCTCGAGATAAGAGGCAGATCTTGTTCCTAGCAACTTATCACTATCAAGGCAGCACTAGGTTTCATAACTTTCAGTTCCTATTCTTGGGTTTTTTTGTTTTGGTTTTACAAGATATAAGCCTTCCTGTCAGATCATATACTTACTTTAGATTGTTAAGGGTTTTTTAAAAAACAAAGAATCTTGCTTCCGTATGATAGCTGGTTACCAATACAGTCAATTTCTAAGTGAAAAAAAAATCTTTAAAAAAAACATTCCTACAATCGAAACTGAAGGACGTTCTACAAGCACATATGATAAGCACATTTATAGCAAATACATATCTTAACAAACCCTATTTAAAATAGGTTTGGATAATCTAGTTTAGAAGTGCTCTAATGCATTCGACTAATTGACACTACACATGGGAAAATAAAACCATTAATGTCAGAAGATAGCTAGTATGTAATGATGTTCCTACTCCTGTCATCAGCAGAGAGCTGAACACATCTCCACAGTAACTTCAAGTAAAACTGTTTCTCCAGAATTAACCATCTATTACTTCAGGTTTTAATTTAGAACTTAATTGTACTGCTGCTCAGACAAGTTACAGAAAATACTGACCAAAATATTTAACATAAGTCATTAAAAAAAAAAAAAAAACCACTGTGTGAAAGCTGTCATACTTTGTTTAGCAGATTCAAGGAACGGAAAGAAGTGACATTTCCCTATCATTCAGAGAAGTTGCACTGGCCTGCATATATAATAAGCTAAGCTCAATAGGAAGAAATTTAACACCTGACTTTTGCCAGCTCAGCTTAACACCACAGTCAAGGCTGGCCCCATCCCCACCCTCCATTGAAAGACAGTGGTTTTGCTCTTTAAAACTCGCCTTTGTCTATCAAGGTAATTGTACTTTATGTTCCAGTTAAACGCATACCAACGTTCAGTCATATGCATTTATGACTGACCAAAGAGGGTAATTTATGCTCAAGCCTTTGCCTACAGGGAACTTTATTCTGCTTCTCTTGCCCTCACACTATTTCTAAACAGCAACATTCTAGTTACAAAAATATACTCAAGCATAAATCATGTAATTAAAACACTGACATGAATCTAAATAAAAGCTTTTTCAATAGGTAAATTAGATATAAATTACAGAAGTCACAACTTATCGTTCTACTAGAGTTACCCCCTTTGTTATCAGAATATGTTCACGCACATGAAAACTAACAGAGAGGCAAGTGTATTAAAGATACGTGTTTACTATATTAGAGGGGTAATGTATTACAACAAAAGAAGAAAGGATGAAAATCTTCACCTGGGAAATATATTTTTTCCACAGTGGTTCATCTTCACTAATATCAAATTCATTCCATCCATGGAATGCCCGTCTATGACAAACTTCACAGTTTTTTAAGCCATTCTGAAGATTAGCCTATTAAAATATGCAAAGAATAGTACACAGTCAGTGATAATACTGATAAATTGCATATCATACAAAATTCCAATACCAAAATAGGTGGCCTCAGATTATAAAAAATTGGCCAAGAACAGAAAGATAAGCTTGGTACTAATGCATGTATGAGAATAAAAGCTTGTTAATGACAATTTTAAAATTAGTTTTGCCAGTAAATAACAGGTTCAACAAAAAATTCACAGAAGCAATGCAGAAGCAGATGCAGTTTCACATCTCTAAATGACTGCTGATCTTCCCTGCAGAAATCTCTTCAGCAAGCCAAACCGTAGGCATAGTTCAGACTCTTGAGAATCATGCCAGGAATTCAGTTACTCAGTCAAACGAGGGCAATAATCTCAGAGTCTTAGGTTGTCAGCAGCCAACATTTATCATGGTGTATTGTTCAAGCAGTCAAGCATACAGAAAACAACAAAAAGGATCATCTATCTGGGAAAGTAACACAGATTCAACAGTTTCTAAATCTGCTGGTGGGTAACTTTCTTAATCCTGTTCCCCCACTTAATATTCTGGCAGCCTCTATCTTAAGGAATCCATTGAACAACTGAGACAATGGCTGTGAAAACCAGTAAAAAGTTTACAGGAAGAATTGACTCTAAGAGTTTTGTTAATCAGAGGCAATCTTCAAAATATACAGAAACCCAAACATTTTTCAAGTCAAATCATACCCCCCTCCAACACCCAATTTCTTCAAAAACATTACAGCATTTCAAGTAGTAATTTAGAAAACAACATGCATTTAGAAGTAGCTAGCAGTTAATACTGAGCTGCATGATAATGCACAGGCTTCTAAATGACAAGATCTCTCCTCAAGAAATATCAAACATCACTTGTTTACGATACACTTATGTTACGCAAGTGCAGCCGTGTAAGAGATGCAAAATCACTTACTTGCAGAATGCTTGCAACTTCATCAACTGGCAATTCACTTGCTTTTTTTGAAGACAGTACAGGAATCATTGTCTCATTGTCACCATCAGGGATTTGTTGAAGACGTGCAACCTAAGAAACAAAATCAAAGTTTTTAAGGATGGTAAGCACTTAACATTTCATATCAAACAACATATATCAGAGTGATGCAGTGTTAATGCCGTTAAAAGATATTTTTCAGTGGTAATCTGCATTGCTTTAAAAGAATTAATTTCACAAATTCAGCTTATCTTTATACAGTACCACCTGCAATAATATATAAAGGCCTAGAGATGCAACTTCGGGGACATCTTCTGCAATGACGGGTAAAGTGATAGTAGACATCCTAACACTTGCATATATTCATAATCCTGTAGCTCATTCCTGGTAAGGAAATGATCACTCCAGATAAATTTCTCTCCCTACTCCTACTTATTATTCATTAAGCTACAGTTTAGCAGGCCTAGTCCTTGCTGACAAAGGAAGGAGAAACAACTTTAAGAAGAGCAAGAGCATAAACACAAGTCAAGTCATAAAACTTGACTACAGTATAAAAGCTTCAAGTCAAACCTACAAAAAACTATTCCAAAAAGTGATACAGTTGCCTGATCGTGCCCTAATATTATCATTTAAGACTTCAGAGAGTCAAGTAACAATCTCTTTAAAGATACTTAAAAAAAAATAAATATCCTTAAATATAAACGTTAAAATACTCTTAAACAGCAATATTAGGCCTTTGCAAAAAACAAACAAAAAACTTGATTAGGATGATAGAATTCCTGCTACAAAATGCCCTTTTGACAACCTTCTGTGATGAACTCAAAAAGCCACCGATTTCAGATGTGTGTTGCATTCAAATCATCCCCCACTTTTAGGGGGGACCTTGTAAAAACTGTATACGATGAAAAAAATCTACAGAGGAAAATCTGGTACAGGATTAGAAAGCAAAGGATCAGAAGATCTCTTTTCAGTCAACTCCCTTTTCTAGGGCAAAATTACATACTATAAGACAAGTTCTGATAGAGATTTTTGAGAAATTAGATGAGGATCTATAATATCTGTGTTGATTAAGCTACCCTTGTAGTTCAGAAAAGAACCATTTCAAATACCTAACATGTTGCCACTAATAAATTCAATTACTTACGCAATTCATACTGTATAATGAGAAACTATCACTGTTTCCTTCATAATCATCTTCCAATATATAAAGTCGGTTACACCAACAGTTTACCTCAAATAAAAACTAGTTAGCAAGCAGTTGCTATTTCCTGGAATGTAACCACCACACAAGCAGGTATTTTTTTCCTTTATTATGCACTACTTCTGTGAAGAATGAGAAACAGGTTTCTTATTCAAAACCGTCAGCAAATACTCTACAGACCTTTTACATTGGTGCCCCGATCTGCACATTGCAGATCTGGACTTCTGCAACACCTGTGAACGTATCTAGCAGAAGCTACCCCAAAAATACAGTATCCATGTTAAAGGAGTCATCCTATACATACTAGAATCCCTCCATCTTAGTATGCAATTCATTTTCAAACATCAGTAGATATCTTTAAACACTTTAGTGCATCATTGTGGACAAAGTTTTTATTGGGCCTATGAAATGACACTGACCTATGCTACTATATCAGCTCAGTTTTCACAGTTTTTACTACATCGGTTTTTTGGAGTTACAACTGTATCTTCCTATTCTCTCCCTGCAGCTATATCTACCAGGGAATGAAGAAGCAGGTTGCTAACAGACAAAAACAAGTAGCTGCCTCAGCAGTGCCTTTTCTTGGACCACTTGGAACCATTCCTAGGGTAAGAAATACAACTGATCATATGACCACAGAACTATGACCAAAGTATGTTTAAAGTTAAAGCAAAGGTCTAAAAGTCTTATATTAATAGAATTTTAAGAGCTCCCTCCTGTTTTATCTCATGAAAAATCTTTAGTTTGCCTGAACAGTTAACACTCACGTGAAGAGATTCTTCTTTTCCATATGCTACAAGATTCTGCCGACCCATATTCTACCATGATCAATAACAAGGACCAACACTGTGCATCCCTCTACAGTTTAAAATACATTGTTCTGCTTACCAGCTCAGTAGGAAGAGCTCATTATCAACCAGCAGGGATCACTGATACTAAGATACTTTTACACTTTTTAAAACAATGGGAAATTTTAGCTGTAACTGCTCAGTGAATGCAAATGGTAGAACCTACACTCACTGAGATAGCTCTAAGAATTATTTAGAGTGCTGTTACAGCAAAAGCAAGTTTTAGACAACCTTGCGACCAAAACACTTCAGCTAATTAGCTAATATAAAGTCCTTTAAACGTTACATGCAGTTACTCAATTGACCTACAAGTGCAAAATGCAAAGGTGGTGCAAAAATGAGAAGAGCAAAAACAAAAACAAAAACAAGCAGAGATTTAAATAACAAAAAATTTGAGATAAACGAAGAGAAAAACTGATTTTTCTTTCTCTCAAGACTTCAGAATCCTGAATTAGAAATGCACGTCAGCATTTGGGTTCGGGGACTCGACTCTTAGAAAAGAGCTTGTCCTCCCTCAGTAGAAGTCTCATTGGTAAATTACAAGTCAGCAGAGCTAGTTCTTGGTAATTACCGGGGCACAACTGGGAGTGAAGAAAGATGACTGGCAGCATTGACCTGGCATGCTCTCCAGTATTTGCCTGTTCACCATATCTATCACCATCTTCTCAATCTTCTTGTCCATTTGAACAGCCTGCTCAGGCATTCTGTCTCTTCCCCATCAGTCTGTTTCAGACTGAACTCCTTTCAAGCCAATCTATGAACTACTGTATCTTTCAACCTATTCTCCTCCCCCTGCCTTAAGATTCAGCTTTCGTTTCTGATTTACCTTCCCATGTTTCACAAAACCATTATTTAGCTCCCTTAACACTTCATAAAGGGTCCTCTGAACTTATAAATTTGCCAGTCACAGGACAACCACGCCCTGGAGAATATGGCCACCAAAGATGCCAACCTTACAAGATACAAAAAGCAGATTCTTATTTAACATTTCAAACAGCAGCAAAGAAAACTCATTCTCACCCCACAGTTTTAGAATGCCAGTCTTCAGATCTTTCGCTTCTCTGGAGACGTTAAATCTTTTTTCCACTTTCTTCTCACATTCTTTGAGATCATGACAGCAACCTCCCAAAGCCCAGCATTATTACGTGATCATTCACCTTCAACACAATGAATTATTGCTGTGCATTTCACAGGGAGAAGCTATATAGTGCGGTACCAACAACAATGGTGTTTCAAACCTGCAGCATACCGAGTAGTAATCTGAAGGCAGAAATAATGGGAATCCTGTTACAGCCATGCTAGTGATTGCATTTGTGACAGTTACGGAGAACACATCCCTTATCTAGATGATTAAAGAGCAAAGTAACTACCTTTTCTGAACATTCTGGGAAAGCAAAACAAGTTAACCACTGGAAGAATGGTTCTTCCTGATTTTTACGTATAGATAGAAAGCCTTACCAGCCTACACAGGCAGGAAGAAGTAGACCACCATATTTTAGGTGATATGCTCATACTAAAATCCTTTTTTCTAGAATTCAGTTATATATTTTCTGCCAATGTTATATATATCTTTTGCCAATCTTGCTGCATCACTGGTGTCTTGGAAGTCTTTTTGGTTAGGTTTTTATTGTCCTCCTGTCTTTTACAAGGCATATATTGCACAGCATAGTTTTCATGCTGCTGCCACTTCCCCCCCACACACTGAAAAAGATGCACTAGTGTTTAATAACACAGTATTAATTAAAAAGATGTTTCACTGAACACATAACTGATTGAAACTAAGCCTCCAGTTTCCTTATTTGCTCTATGATCAAGCCACGTGTAACACGTACCAAAGCATTTAGAAAGATCAGCTCCTATCTAAGAATAAAAAGAACATAAACGTGTTCTTTTCCAGTTGTGTACAATTCAGAACTGCGTGTGTCCATCTGTCTGTCTAGATCGCTCAGGGAAACAGAGCGCCAGGAACAGAAGTGTAGCCTTATATAGAGACCAGCGCACATAATAACATCATAAAAGATAAGTACCTATCTCTTCTGCACTGTGGCCAGCACCCTGCAAGTGCACAGGGCTAGAGGCTGGCTAGCTGTCAACGAGCATAAAGATGTGAGTGTGCACCCACACGGACTTCCAAAACAGTTCCTGCTAGGCATTGACTCTTGGCCGTGAAGCATATCTTTAAGGAAAAAAGTCTAACTGGGATGGAAGTAATCCCCTCTTCTGTCAGTTCCATCCAAGTTAAAGCATCAGCGCAGTCTTCTCCAACTCATTAGGATGTGGCAGCTAGATGTTTTGGAGATCTTGGCCATCTTCAAACTCTCAGTTTAAATGAGACATTGCTCAGAACCATGTCTGTGATCCCAGAGAGCAAGGTGTCTTATTTCACCTAGATTTTTCTACTAGCTGTGCCTTTTAGAAAAAAGCAATTTTTGCCCCATTCCTCTAGAAAGCAAGGTGCTCCTAGAACCTCAAGACAGGTTCCAGCCATGGAGCAATGACCAAGTGATGACAAGGCACAGCAAAAAGCCACCTACCAAAAAATGCATTAGGCATGCTCAACAGCTATCACAACTCCTAGACCAACTGCATGCACAGAGGCAAACCCCAGACGCATGGCAGGATTCCAAGGGCCCTCACGCTGCTCTAGAACATAGATTAGCCAAATAGTCATTATTATGACATAACTTCCTCCAAAATTTTCCTTCCTTAAATTGCTCCAGATCTTAGCAGGAAATAAGAGGAATTCACCAGTTGTACTAACATACGAAGTAGGTGGAAGTAGCTGAGGATGGTAGACAGTTCTTTTGTTACATCAGTGCAACCAAGCTCTCAAACCATAAATGCAGACAAGCTACAATAATATTTCTAGATTAAGTAAATTCAGTTTTTTAAATGTCTTATTTTTGGCTTCTGAACCAATTTATCTACATTTTAATACATGAATAAAATGGGAAGTTATACTCAGAGAGGCTTCATCCACGCAGACTACACTGATACAACTGCCTGTACTTTACGCATAATTATATCATGAAGACTGACATCTT